TTCTCTCCATAAGTGGATCCCGCCAAACTAAATTGAGGCTCTTAAATATGAGAAAATATTACATCAAGACTTCACAACGTAGAGTTACATTGCAGAGTCCAATAAAATCATGTCACATGACGGTGACTAGAAAAAAAATAAAATATGCACAAGGGAATATTCTTCTCGTGTTATTCATGTGTTATTGCATGTTATTCAAGTGTTATTGATGTGTTATTTTGTTATTATAACACCGATAATATTTCCAGAACATACAGAGAAAGAGAGAGAGAATTCTTTCTTGTAAGTCGACGTGGTCGACGGTGTAATCCTCAAAGCTAATAAAATCCTCTGCAGCTCCGTGGACGTAGGCAATTTGCCGAACCACGTAAATCTTGTGTCGCCTTTTTCTGGTGTAATTTTCTCGATCTGTTTTTTTTCGTTTTATTGTCGTCGTTTTTTCATAACAGTAAAAAAAAAATTCCAAACAATCTCTGTGAAAAAAACGAAGGCCATCACAAAGTAAACAAATATCGTTCTTACAATATATCAATTTCTCCAAACAAATTCATAAAAGAACAAATCAAAAGCAATTGGGTGTCTCCACAGACCACAAACCGCAAAGAACAAAACCACCAAGACAGAGGCCACAAACCATGGAGTTTGGAGGACTGTGGAAAGCACGAAGGAAAACAAAGAAAGAAAAAACCCTTTCAGCAAGCCGAAGGATAATCACTCGAATAGATATGCGATGCATGACAATCATGTAATATCAAAGTAACGAGAATGCGGAAAGCGGGTCGTGGACGGCGTTGCTTAACCTCAGGTGAGTTTAAATCAGCGCTCCCACACCGCAAAAGCCAAATACACCAAAGTTAGTTTTCGTGTCCCACCGCAGCAAATAAGCTACCCTAAATGCACTCTTAAAAACAAAAATTATAGTCTCACAACAATAAAATTTATATATTGCTATTATTTAAATGCAAAGTATGGAGTCATAGCCTAAATATCTTGAATGGTATACTGGTGGGCTAGTTTTTTCCTCTTCCCACGATATGTCAATTTACGACGTAAATCCAATTGTGAACCGCGACCTTTTCTGTCGCATCGATCTAATAAATTTATATTTATTCAATTTTGAAAATATTTTTGACTTGAAATATTACTAATCAATTATATATATATATATATATATATTGATCAGCACTAAATCTTAAAAAAAATTAATTGATTACAAGTATATAAAGATTTATAATCAATTAAAAATATTAATTAAAAAAAAATAGAATAAAAATGATTAAATTAAACTCAAATGATGTTTTAAGATCAAGAAATAATTTTTAAATCTCGGCCCAACTCTTAACATCTTGTGGCTATGTGATTAGGCTTGTTAAGATGACTTTTTGTTCGTGAACAACTCATGTTCGACTTGTTAAGCAAAAGAGCCGAACACAAACATATTTTTTGAGCTCGAAATATAAACGAGTTGAACATGAGTTTCCGTTAAGGCTCAATTAAAATATTATCCTTTTTGTTATTATCGAAAACCTATAAATTGTAAGAAATATAATATTTTTATCCTGTAAGAGCACACATTTCTTTTGTCCGTACTTGAAGAACTTTAAAAAGGGGTCCTAATAGTGCAATGTCAAACATATATTGGGCACAGACACACCTCCAACACATATCAAACACAACGTTGAAGTGTATGATTTAAATAATATTAAAAAAGCACTCATGTCGAAAACATCTTAAATTTAAAAGAAATATTTTAAAATATTTTTATTTTTAAAATTCTAAACCAATTATATCAATTTTTTTCACATAAAACTTAAAACTCATTTTGATCTTATTTCTTATATATCATGACTAAATAATATCTATGGAAGCTTTAACTTTTGAAACTTAATCTTATCAATTTTTTATTGTCTGCCTCATTCTTCTTAATATTCTGTTTACTTAATTTTTTTCTATTTTTTATGTTTTAAATTAGAAAGATTTAAATACATCACTCTTCTTTAAAAGTTAATATTTATTTATTTTTTCCTTAGAATCAGAGTTGTATGTATGCAAATGTTTTTCATTCCTACGCACCCAAATCATGTATTTTCAATGATAGATGTCACGTATTCATGTCAGATCGTATTCATATTTATCCATCATATCCCTCAAAGAGACCCAAAATTTTCCACTGGGAAAGACAACCCAACGGCTCACAGCTAAGTAACCTGCGATCAATGGCATTAGAACCAAACTTTCAAATTCAAAAGCAAATTGAAACCGGCCAATCTTACATGCCTAAAATTTTCATCGCAACCCAAACAAAGATTGAGCAGGCTCCCATTTTAAACAAAAACAGTGGTGCTAAGAATCATTTGCTGTGCCATGGTTAATTTTGGCCATTTTACCAAAACTCTTATCTTGTTAAGAGCAGCCGAATTCTCTTTGGCCATTTGGCTTAATTTTGAGCTTACTTACTCTGTTTAAAATACATAAGAGATTTTGAATTTTCGATAAATACAGATTTTAGATTTTAAATATAAATTTATATTTTATAATTTATCCATATAGATAAACATAATTAAGAAAATATTTCATATCAACAATGAAAATTGTGAGACTTAATTTTCCTCCGTTTGTTATCATTTAGGAAAGTAAGATCTAGAGGGTGCTGAACAGGATTCCGCAAGCGACGACTGATGATCTCCACTAATTCAGTGCATAAAATTTCTCCATTATATATGTATATATATTATATATATATATATATATGGGGAAATGTACATACATAACATAAAATCTTCTGTAATTGCATATCTAACACCTAAACTTCCAATATTTACACCAAAACTTTAACATCACAAAAAATACCACCATGATGAACTTTCTAAAAGTGAGATACACATTTTCATGCATAGGTTTATGGCACCAAAGTGTTATATAAGTGTGAATATCGAACTTCAGTGTTAGATGTGTAAACACATAAAAAATGTGTGGCATGTAAATTTCTCATTTATAAATTGAACAAAAGAGCTAACTGCAACAAAACTAAGACTGGCTTCGGATGAAAACAGATGACAGTGATGAGCATAATAAAATCAGCTCCTGTACAAACAATACATTTCTTTTCATTGCATTGCTCGGCAAGTAAAAAAAGAAGAATACATTGTCTTCCACTACTCAGGATTAAGCCTCCAAAGAACCGATCATCAAGAAAGAAAAGATAACAGAGAAGAATAGAGGCAAATGTAATGTTATGATCACTTTCCAAGGTTAAACAGCTAGAGGCACTCTGCATTCAAGGGAGAAAAAAGAATATATTTGTTGAGATGGTAGAGATATTAAAGCTGTACAGGAATACGCCTTCCCCTTATGATTCTTTACAGGATTCGATAACCTTAACAACTGCTGAATGTGTTTCAGGGGATATCATATTCAGTGTCAGATGAAATGCCTGGCAAAACAAAGTGAAACAGAACATAATTTTATTAATCAATTTTCATCAAACATTGATATATCTGATTAACAAACAGATTTCCATTGCTGGCATGATGCTATATAATATCATGAGGTCTACTTGGGTTAAAAAATGTAATGAGTAGAATAGGTGTGAGTCATTCAGTTCATATATAGTTTACGAGTTAGGGTTGTGCTTTATATTCCTACTAATACTCTCCATTGAGAAGTTTATGTTACGAGTCTCTTTTTGTCCCCCACCAAATTTCTCACCTAGAAATGGATGCATAACAATCATTTTTCAGTGTGGCATACACTTTAAACAGTATTAGTAAAGACCTTTAAATCCTAGTGTAAAAACCAATGCCAATGTACATCGAAAAATATGTCAGCATTGATCCTGAGAAGATCTAACGGTCAAGAAAAAAAGAGAGTGCAACAATGGAGGGCCCACCAATAGAAGTCCAAGAGGCCCGCTGATCCGACTGAATGCAGCTGTTCGAGCAAAAATTGAAGGCCGACCGAGCTAGGAGAATGACGAGAGGGCAATTGATTGATTCAAATCCGAACCAATGAGACTAAAACAAGATATACAAGCATTCGGGTCAACCACTACAAGAAAGCCAACCGAAGGTAACAACATACCTTTCGGTAGATCCGACACGAGGAAAGACCCAATTCCTCAATATCACCAACCATCCCACGGACGCCCATGAAGCTCCTCATCAGGGATCAAGAATTGACAACACAACAGAGTCTTATAGTCATCCCACAGGCACTCCTCGCTGAGGAACGAGTTACTTATCGGGTTATGGTGATTCATCTTCTATCTTATAGTCATCCCACAGACACTCCTCACTGGCAGGAGTTCCTCATTCAGAGATCGAGGGTCATTGAGAGTCAAAAACCATACTAGATCAACCAATCACTTACCAACCCGATGCCAATCAAGCTCAACTGATAAGCAAACACTGGCTCAGCCTAGCCAACCGAACCGGCCTTACCAGTAGAAAATAAATAAGCTAAGCCACCCGAGCCAAAAGAGCAGCTGAGCGATAGGCTCATATATATATATATATATATATAATACCTAAAATATCTTGTAGAACCCTTATTAAAGCAAAGGCAAAAATGTAATATCACAATATTGTACCATCTTCCCTATAGATAGGAAGATCATTTTATTACAATAAAGAGAATATATAGGATGTACTATTATTCACTTATCTCTCTTCTTTCTTACGCTCTATTTCGTAGAGTGTAATTCACGGACAAATCATAATTCAACATCCTAAAAAATTCTCTCGGCAAATCTCAGAGGTCGAGGGTTCAAAATCCCAGATTAGAATCCTATACTGGCAAAACCGATATGAATGACCACATAGCATTGTTCGAGTTGATTGTGTCAGCTATACACTGAAAACGTGAGCTCTTCTTTACCAAGCTAAGGAATTCAATCCTCAGATGGTTCGATGCATTGCCACCAAGAGTGATTGCATTCTTCACTGATTTCAAGCGAATGTTTCTGGTGCAATTTCCCAGTACCCAAAAGCTGCAGAAAAATTCACATGCCATTCTACATATCCGACAGAGACAAAACAAGAGCCTTCGCTCGTTCATCACCCGCTTCTAGAAGATGTTAGAAGTACGGGACATGGATCCCATAGTAGTCTCAAGGGTTGAAGGAAGGACCATTCCGGTATGCTTTGGGCTTGCAATGACTAACGGCGCTAGTCGAGCAGTTAGAACTAGCAAACAATCACATATTGGCAGAAGAATACAACTCTCCAGCATGATTGAGAATCGAGCAAGCTGACTGCCATCCATTGAAGAGAACGGACTGTGGAGAAATTTGGAAGAATAGACATCTGATTGCTTGGCTCGAAATCGCTTCGAAGACTCACGAGGGCCCTCGAATTACCCAACAACCGACAAAATGTACCGTCGGAGGAGACGGGCCCGATATCTTGACAAATGCCCAGCTCGGCAATGAGAATGTGTTATCGTTCCAAATCTTATATTTTATTGTCAAGTTTATAAGCATTGTTAAATAATTTTTTTTCAGATTATGTGTGCAAACCAGGTATATGGCCGACACTCAGGGAACTTGGTAAGTTCATACAAAGGATCATCAAATCGACCAACACTCAGGAAACACGAACTAACACGCCAACAGTGATTCCATCTTAGTGACAAAATCGATAGCGATGCATGATATCCAATTGAAAAAGATTTTCCAAAATCGAAAGCAAAGCAAAACATTCAATCAATTAAGATTTTTTAGAATCGACAACGAAACAATTAAAGATCAACTAAATTTGACAGATAGTGAAGATTAACGCCCAATCGGCAAAATACACAAGAACCAACCCACAATGCCCAAATATTAAAAAAAACTCATCTCCTAGCTCGAAACGGGTCAAGCTCTAGCGATGGTTTCCTACTCAATAGCGAAAAGATCTGCACTGGGGTAGCGTACAAATCACCACAATAGCAAGTCTTAATAGTTAACCCTTGCGAAGATTGCAATAAGATCAGTTATTCGTCTGGCATAAGGTGCGGTCTGTCCAAGGCGACAACTTAACTGAGCAATCGAGAAAAGAGCGTAATACTTAAGCAAGACAATAACTCAACAAAACCAACCAAAGACATTCTTATAAACAAAGCCAAAATCACAAGAAATTATGACAAGGAAAATAAAATAACTTGTAAATGTAAAATGCAAGAAACAAAAGTGAAAACCGACCGAAAGATTTGTTTTAATTCATGATTGAAAACTTATAAAGAATTTTCTATATGTTTCATTACAAAGAATTTCTGATTACAAGTATTCAAAAAAGAAAAAGAAAATGTTTTCAAAGTCAAATGCGAAGCCGAAGACGAGCCAAACATTTGAAGACCCTCCACCATCTTCATCGCTTTCATTCTCTTCTTCACCCTCCTTCGGGTACAAGAGTAATGTAGCAAATCTATTCAGAGACTAGCTTGGCCTTTATGATTCGGCCAATGGCTAAAGACGTTGCTACTCTGATCTACGTAGCGAGGAGCTCCACCTACAAAGGGTGGGAAGAAAACTTAGCAAAAAACTCATCTAACGTCTTCATTGTCGCCATCTTTTCCTTCAGAGCCTGGTTCTCTCCCTGAGTAGCCGACAACAACTCTAACAGTATGAGCACTTCGGCTTCAGGCACCTTCGCCCGATTTTCTGCCTACTTCACCCTATTCTTAGCCTTAGCCAAATTTTCCTCCACCTGCACCAGGACCGTTGGCTGAAAGTGTTGAGCCTCTCAAACCATCAACTGATACTTATCGGTCATCTGGCCTAGACCTGAGAGAATTTGCTCACAAAGGATCATCTCGAAAGCTCGAGACCATATCACGTCAGCAATTGTAGAAGGGCATAGAGATACCATAAAGAAATCCATGTAACAGTTCCTCCTCAGATCAAACAAAGCAAACCAATCATCAGAGATAGTACTCACCTTCGCACTGTCGGCCAGCATTGGAACCCATGCAAATGGGTTGCCCTTCCTCTTCTTTTGGGAGAGGGAGAGACACTTGGATTGGTGGCTGGAGCTTTCACCTTTCGACAGCATACCTCCTCTTCCTAGTTGGCTCGAACTTGAGTACATGTTCGAGGCAACAGGAGGACTATTGGCTTCACCCTCGTTGTAGCTCAATAAAAGTAGGAGGGACCCACTGAGGGATAAATGATCCCGCTTCTGGTCTTTCTATTGAGGCTTCTCCCTCAACGCCACTCGATTCCAACTAGCTCGGCGTTCTTTAACTTCTTGGTGTTGTGAACCGAAGGGCCGACAGTTGATAAAGAGCTTCTGGTGGGAATCAAATTAGCTTTCCTCGCGATAAGAATTAATTTGTTAGTCACAATCCTTTGAATAACAGAAGACTTAGATATAAAGTAAATCATGTCCGCACCTTCAATACTTTCTCTAGCACAGACAACATACACCTCTCAGCCAGCCAACGCAGCAGCTTCTAGGCGAGCAAACTTTGCATGGGCAGCCACTCAAGCTTTCTTCTTAGCAGTTCAAGTGGCAGCCTCTGATTCCCACTTAACCTATGTGATGTCTGAGGCTGCCAAATCTTCCTCAGTCATTCGTCCAAACTCCTCTGGTTGCAAAACCCTGTTGAAAACTAACAAATCGAGATACAGTGAATTGAAAGTTGTTAACCTTCAACCCCCGCTGCTTCAACCAACACCCGCTTTGGTACCTTCTTTGATTTGTCAGTTGCACCTCCAGACGGAACGTTTTGGATGTTTATTGCCTCGAAAGAAAAATCAAGATAGAAGCGCAACTTCCAGTTCTTTATTTTATTTTCCGACCCCAGCAAGTTGAAACTTGTCAAGAGAGGTGAACTCTAAGAAACTCTCCGGATCACCCGAAACGAGAACAAATACGTGAAGAGCACCGTCGACCAGAGGATTCCCAACTGACGGCAGAAGATAACGTAGGTCATAATGGTGGCAATGGAATTAGACAGGATTTGGGCAGGGATAATCTCGTAATGGCTGAAGATACCCTGCAATTCTCGACATAAAGGCAACCTAAACAAAATTTGAATTCTTCTCTATAAAAAAAAAGTCAGCCCCAAATCGGGTCGTTGCTTGATTGTTCTCCCCAGCGGCTCAAAGCATTATAGCATAATTGAAGACGCTGGTTTTATGTAGCCGAGCAACCTCCCCTTGTTATTGCTAACCGGCCGGTTGCGACAATCGACCTGAATGTTGGTGGAGAGTATTCTGGAGCCATCTAGATAGAGCGCAAAAAATAGAAGAACAGTAAGCTCAGAGTATAGAGGAACAAAGGAAAAATGACAACAAAAGCGTAGCACAAATTCAACTCCTAACCCTTATATATAAAGTAACAGAAGAAGCAAAACCATTACACGGATAAAAATGAAATCGAATAATAATTTCAAAAATATGCTGACATAAATATCATATCAACCACAAAATTTGAGAAAGAAAAATAAGTTTTATTCCAAAAATAATTATTATAAATTACACTTAGAAACTAGTTCGAGGGAAAATATATTACAAGGTGATTGTCTGCCGCTTCGATTACGACAAGTCCCTTTCAAAAATTGCGGTCACCTCCTCAATCCTCTCCACTTTCACCACACAAGTCAGCAATTTGCACATCATCTCTCGTTGAATCCCAGCCGACAAAGCAAAGTTGTTCTCGATCTCGTTCAAGCGCCAAATCAAAGATTCGGAGACCTCGGCATCCAATAGCTGCTTTCCCAAGGGTTTTGGCAGGATCATCTGGGCGGTTAACCCACCATCCTCGCTCCATACTTGATCGCTCTTGACTGGTGCAAGGTTAACATTCATTGGTATTGTGTTAGGTTTCCAAAATCATCTACCGAAGGTGAATCCATTGCCTCATTGCCCGAGACTACAGCACCGAGTGAGCTGCACTAAAAGACAATGTAAGAAAAAGGAGAAAAATCAAAATCTTACAGGTAAAATTAAGGCTCCTCATACCCAGGAGTCAATCCAAGTCAAATCCTATAATCGAAAAATCGCTGTCACGGGGTAGCACCAGAACACCAGCAGCTTCTTGCATCCTTGGTGGTGGTAGAGCACCAGCAGCTTCTTAAGTGACCCCTTCGGTCAGCAGATATTGTGCCCCAATAGAAGGTTGAGCCGACGCATTATAGTCAAGCGAGTAGTCTGATTATTCCTCCAACTGGTACCGAAGAATGAACCAGATGACCTCACCTGATCCACCAACGCAATCGATTTTATTAGCAGTGATTTTCTTCTTTTTACCTAGCGGACAATGCTACTACTTCGATCTCCCAAAAGAAGCCAGAAGCATTTCCTTCCTGGGGGGATCAATCGAAGAATTCGGCACACCCCATGACAGCGCTTGAAAGCTAACCAATTCAAGAGAGAAGAGATATAGAACAAATATGGAATGTTAGAGTTCTGTCATACCTTATTTATATGAACCAAGGGCGCAAAAAATCAAAGTTCAATTATTAAATCATTCATTAAGAATAAATATTATCTACATTTTACACTAAATTATCTTATTCTTATAATGGCATCCATTTCTAGAAGAGTATCAAGAAATTAAAATATGTACGTCAAACAATCTGTCAAGATTGATCTTGAGGAGATCTAACAGTCCAAAAGAAAGATAATACAACAAAGAAGAGCCCACCAACAGAAAACCAAGATGTTCACTTATCTGACCGGATGTAGCCGTCCGAGCCAAAGTCGAAGGCCTACCGAGCTAGAAGGACAAAAGAATGTCCTATAGATATCAATCCGAACAAATCAGACATTAACAAGATAGATAAGCATCTAAGCCAACCACTACAAGAAAACCAACCGAAGGCAACAACTTACAATCCAGTAGATCTGAGCCAAGGAAAGAAACAGTTCCTCAATATCACCAAGCATCCCACAGAAGCTCTCAAGGCTCCTCATCGACAATAAAGACTTGACAATACAACAGAGTGTTATAGTCATCCCATTGGCTCTCCTGGTTGAGGAAAGAGCTACCTATCGAGTTACCGTGATTCATCTTCCGCCTGATAGTTTAATTTTGCTCCGACGACAATAGTTCCTCATACAGAGATCGAGGGACAACAACCAAACTAAATCAACCGATTGACAAAGCCTAATCGGTTGAATCAGTCTTGTCGAACTGAAGTCAATCAAGTTCAGTCGGCCGACAATGCCGGCTCAACCTTGCAAACTGAAACAACCTTACCAAGCCAAAGCCAAACAACGTCAGCCGCCTGAGCCAAAGAGCAGACGAGCAATATACTCATATATATATATATATATATATATATCATTGTCAACACAAATATCAGTCGCCATCTGCTCTGCTGCGAAACCCTGGTTTGATTCCTTCGGTCGTCAATGTTTTCTCTGGTGCTCGAAGATCCCATTAAAATAAGAGCAAAAATGTAATATCACTATATTGTACCTACTCACATATAAGAGGGAAAACTTTTTATGAGAAGACACAATATAGACACGATATATTATTGGTCACCTCTCTCTCTCTCTCTCTTTCTATTCTTATGCTCTATTCATTAGGGTGTGCTTCACGGATAAATTAGGATTCAATTGTCAACATCATGCAAGATTAAATTATGAAATATGTTGAGATTTCGAGTTAACAGTATAGGGTGGACCCAAAATGAAATTCATTCTCTCCTTTGTGTGGGGATGGGATTCGTTGCTTATTATCTAAATCTAAGAAAAGCACAACAAAAACATTACCACAAATCTTTCCAACACTGGAACAAGAATTTGTAATCTGTGATTAGGAAGGCAGCGTGCAATGGCTTCTTTCACCTTGGTACTGCAAAAAGGAAGTCAATAAAACGTCAATTATGATTTCAACGTCGTCTCAGATTTGAAATAAGATGACTGAAATTGAAAAATTGAGGGGAAAAGAAAAGAGAAGATCCAGACCTCTCTGTTGACAGAAAGGCAAGCAGTAGAGCTGCATAGGCTTCGATGATCATCATTTCAGCCTCACGCTGACTTTGCAACAAGGATGCCTCGTCATCCTAACAAAAAAACAGCATCATTAAAAAAGAGCTAATTAGTGCATTGAGACGTCTTCTTAGATTTTTTATGTTAAAATATTGTATTAATAACAAATAGAAAAATCAAACCTTATCAAGTCGTTCAACATAAGAAAGATAATAACATATATCATATGCACATTCATACAAGGAAAACTGCATTATTTGATTAAAACAAAGTAGATTCGGTTCAAGAATGATACTTTTTATGCAGTGGGTCTCATCAAACTTGGACAAGTGAACTTTCACGCATATAAAACAACTATTGCTTTGGTTACAAAGAGGGAAAAGTTAAGGGCAACGCTGTAAGCAGTTGTGTAACTAAAATTTAAAGTTAAAGGAGATGAAAGGACTTGCCAAAAGCTTAGGAGTGTCAAAGAATTTAAGAGTTAAAGATTTATTTTGTATATAGCCCAATCCTCCCTGGTCCACCTCAGCACAGAAAACACTAAAGTGACACCGTAACACATTAAGGATAAACCATTCTAATTCTGTTTATTGAAGGTTCTTTCTGTTCATAGATCTACTATCAGAAAGACTGAGACCAAATATAAGCACTACGGATAGCCATGTGGAACAAGAAAAATACGTTTTCAACATAGAATAGTCTGTTTGCAAAATGAACAGTATTAACAATAATGGAAAACAAGAAGTAAAAGAAAATGTTAATCCAATTTCATAGCCAGTAATTTTAAATCCAAAGACACGGGATCATTTAGAAAAAAACCATGCATCATCAGTACTGAGGAGAAAAAAACTATTACGGGAAAAACGCAGTCTGAAAAATATTCATGATAAATCCATTCACGTTCTTACATTGACTAGAGCCTCTTCCTCTCCAGCAGCATTCCCAGCTCGTTGATTGGACAGAAAGATGGAGCACAGCAAAGGTACAACTTCCCTGTAAATCTCCTTACTAGCAGAGGTTCCAGGCTGATTCACCAAAACACGTGCAGATGCAAGCCGCAATCTGCAGCAAAGCAACACTGTGAGCTACTAAATGGTTTGAGAGATGGCTGAGAACAAATGTTTTCAAGTTGTATAAGAAAATACAACTGAAAAAACAAAGCAGCAGTAAAAAATAATAATGATAAAATAACAAACAAAAATTAAAAACTTAACAAGCCAAGAAACAACCTTAAAACAATAAAGGCATGCAATTCTTTCAAAAAGAAAATTAGCCTTCCACTTCTCAAGTGTATTTAGTAAAAAAAAGAATATCTGTATCAAATTCTTTAATAATATCAAATCATTACAATATTACAATGAATTACAATTTCACATTGAAATTTTAAAATAAAAGTAATATGAAATACTATGAAGACAAAAAATTCCAAACTCAAACTTCATCTTGTCATCATAATGAAGTTTGCTAGTGGTCGTGTTGAGATCCAAGTTCTTAGATTAGTAGAATGTCAGCACTGGATGAGGTGTGGAGGGCATGGTGAAGAGCAGAATGTGGAAGAGAACATTAGAGTTAGGGGTCTTAGTTTTGAAATCTGAATTTAGTTTTATTTGAGTGTTTCCCTCTTGAGGGTTGTATCAGATGATTAGGGTGGTGCTCTAACCGTATCCCTTTTCCCGGTGGTGATTTATCTTCTCAAACGTCGCTCCTCCTCCTCCTCCTCGTTACCAACTGTTTTCCCAGCAATCTCCCGCGACCAACCCCTAGTTCCAGCCTCCTACTTGCCTTTGCGAGCTTTCCCGATCTTTTCTGGCAGTCAGACGGCAACCCCTGCCCCTCTTTTCTGTAATGTATGGCCACCTGCCCCCTCCAGCTGTTAAGCAGCCCGATGCTTTTGCAACCTACTGCTTCCAGCCTCAAAAATCCAAAGCTGCAATCATCCTCCAAGGCTATAGTTGTCCAAATCCTGCAACCCACTTTTCCCAACCTCCCAAACCTCCAGCTGCCATTCCAAAACCTGCAGCCATACTCCAAATCTACAGCTGTCCAAATCCTGCAGCCCCTTTCCATCCTTCCAAACCTCCAGCTGACCTTCCAAAATCTGCAGCCCCACTTCCCCTCCTCCCAACCCTGCAACAGCACTTTCTCCCAACCTCCCAAAACCTGCAGCAGCACCTCTCCCTCCCTCCATACATAACCAGCCACCACCTTTCCTCTTCGCCATTGCAAGATTGGGGTTTTGTAGTGTCTTTCTTTCATTTTTCTGTTGAGAGTTGTTATGAGTCATAGTTGTGACCGATTTCAATTTCAATATTAATATTTATGTTTCTTTTGTGGTTTGGGCTTCACCCGATGTCAATGTCTTAGTCCCTCATGCAAAAGCGACCTAATTTTAGGGAAGTTTTCAAAGCATGTTGCCATGCTTTAAAAGATAGGATCGGTAGGAGATTGAGTCAAACATATATCTTGCAGTGTGCTTTAGAAAGAAGTACCATGCTATAATGCAAGTCTTACAAAACTAACATCAAAGTAATTTTCATTAAAGATTTAAATAATTTCCTGAAAGTTTAGTAGGGCAACAGTCATGTCAGCAAACAGTAGTATTAGAAATTTGTTTCTACTTTTCACACCAAACAAATGACCAGACATGAATCGAAAAAAGTTAGGAAAATTTATTACATTCTCTTATTAGCAATATTTTAGCCGACTACAATTTGTGATGACTTGCAAAAGCCATGTCAGCAGTAAAATAAGACAATCACCCCCTTTGAAACAAAATATGGGTTGCAAACTAACAAGCCTATAGAACTTATATCATTCACCATGCATGCATATTCTAATTCAGCTGTATCGTTGGCTAAGTCTCTGCACATAAACTGCATTCAGATATTAAAACACATTGATTTGCAAAATAATAAGTAAAAAACTATGGCAGAATGCCATAGAAAATTATGAGGACATAATGAAAGTAAGAATGTCATAGTTTATCTTCCCCTAAATGCTTTTTGCATAACACGTTTAATAAACTTAATACAGGCCTGATGCCCCTACAAAGTAATTACAAAGATTGAACCAATGATAAAGTTATTGATTTATTTAATAGCATAAATCTTACTCTTAATGTCGATAGTTTAATACCATACAACACTTTTAAGCCTCCAAAGTTCCCAGCAATTATCTATACAAATTCAGATTTTAAATTTCTACTAGTATCATAAGTATCATCATTGCCACTAAACCCAACCCCAACCCCAACCCCAACCCCAACCCCAACCCAAATCCCAATTGTTGAGGAAATTCCATTAAATAAGATTATTGGGCATTTCAGGCAGGCAACATTTCTTTATCTAATGGAGAGGAAATTCATCACTGGATGATTCATGGATGACTAGTGATGAATATTAACACTTTCCTCAAACTTCCTAGATAAGAACAAGGAAATGATGACCACCACTCATCCAACCTTACGTTTGATGTTGATGGCATGATGTAAATATTTTAAACTTTATTTTAATTTTTTTATTTAGGAAATATTTGGATTTATATCTTACTTTTAATTACTTCATTTACTAGTAAACTTAGGCCCTTTAGTTATAAATAAAGACTCCTAAATCTAGTTTGAAACACGGATTGATAGAATAAAATATTGATTGCTCTCTTCTTTGCTTAAGCTACCATACTTTAGCAACATTATAATAACATCTATACAAATAATAAAAAATAATATTAGAAGCACTTCCATAGCACTTAAAAGTACTTTCACAATTAAATATTTCTACCCCGTGAACCAACAAAGCTATATTGTAAATTAAAAGCAGAGAATTAAAGAGGACGTTAAGCATACAAAGCAAACCTGTTAGGACTATCCTTCTCAACAAGGTTCACAAGCAAACCCAGAATAGCAACTAGAAAATCCAATTGATGATCATGCATCTTTCTATCATTAAGATGTCCACATTCATTACTTCTGTCGATGGATGTCATAATCTCTTCCGTTTCAGTGCCAACAGGAAAGCACAAGTCAAATGATGGGAAATGGTTCGCAATCAAGGAAGCCAAAGTATCCAAACCACCACAGGCTCCAATTTGCTGACAGCCAACAGGGTTATCATTTGTTAAGTTCATTAGAACCTGCCAAAGAGGGATCATATCATATTCTCAACTCCTAATCTGACGGAAAAATAATTAATTATCGGCGGGTGCAACGAGACAATAATTTGAAAGATAAAAATATGGATTCATGCACTTCAAATCAGACAGCAGGAAAAAGAAAAATCAATATAGTATAAGGTTGGTAAGAAATTTCATTTCAGAGAATTTCGACAGGCAAAGAGATGGGAAAATGTAAGGAGTACAATTGCTTTGTTAATTTCCATATTGTATAACGTCATAATTCAACTATGAACAGCAGAATAACCCCCATAGATAGCAGAAGACTATTTTCAGCAATTTGCTCTAGGATTGTTATTTATTTTAACAGAAAAATTAGTATAAAATGAGAACTAACACGGGAGTTTCATGAATTCAGTTATGACTTCAGGTATGCTTAACTGTAACTGATATGAAGTGCTAACTAAACAAACATTAAATAGAATAATATGCATGACTCTACCCTTGTTTGCTTGGATTCATGTTATTGTCTCAAAATTGAAGCTTCTTCAAGAATAATAAAAAAGTTTTTATATTCCATTACTGCATACCACAATCATCAAATTGTTCTATACAAATATTGTCTAATTTAATAAATATCTGGGAAGAAGCTGCCTTCTGTTAAACTACATTAGAATGGTTGAAAGCTTAAGGTCAACCCAAATAAAACAGTCCTCCTATGCTATTCAGATAATGCGACCTAAGATATAGGCAAGTCAAAGAGCCTCTTAATCTTTTCCTTTATACAATTTGCTAATCTGTAATAGTAATTGTATAATACAACAAATATTCTAGTATTTATTCAGGAGAAATAACGTTCAGGTTTTATCAGCAAAAACTGAACATTTAAGTCTGTCCTTGCCTCACATAAGATGAAGGATACAACCTGTTTATTACAGCAGTTAAACAAAATATCTATGAAATTTATGTTTGTCCGCCAAGGGTTGTAAATAAAAATAAGGCACATATTAAAAAAAAAAAAAACCTTTACTGAAGAAAGAAGGCAGTCCTCTAAAATATTAGGATCTTCTTCAGCTGCCGATGGACAAGAATTATCACTCGACTTGGGATTGACTTCAATAGTGGGCTGACTTGATTCATCGTTTATGATTATACTCAGAGCCTCAGATCCATTGACATTTTCAGTAACTGCAAAAGCTTGTGTGCTAGTTTGAGTTTTTCCCTTTTTTGAAGATAATTGTTCCCACTTTGATGGTCCCAAGTGATCATCAAATTCAAATGGATCACAAAATTCACTTGCGCTGTCAGCTTTGCAATGGCTGGACATTTGCATTCTCTTGGATTGGACATGAGAGCTTTCTTTTGAACCAGTTGACCTTATGGAAATCCAGCCACTTGAACTTTGAGAATTCGCCTTCATGCCATTTGGATGTAACTTTACTTCCAAGCCAATAGTACTTGTGCAGCTTAACCCATTTGAAGAATTAAATGACGTATCATAAGATGTAGAAGTAAGGCAATCAGCTCTATCCATTGCAGGTAAAGCATCAAGTGATGTAGTAGCTTCTAAGCTTGCCGTAGACAGCTTTTGACGTTTATGACAAACTTCAATGCTCTCCATTTGTGAACTCTTAGTTCCACAGAAAGAAGTTGAAGAATAATCCTGCACATCTGAAATTAAGAAAAATGATATAAACTCAACTAATATATGAGAAAAACAGCAATAAGCATGCCACCAGCAAGATTTTAAATAAGCTTATAAGAGACGAAAAAAATCCACTTTGCATTGTCTCTAACTAAACATGCAGACATAATGATTGAGAATATGAGAACAGGATTGAGGGCATCTCCGACAACAGCACAACACCAGGTATTGGGGCCTCCAGGCTTTCTGCGGCTGCCCAAACTCTGTCCATCCAGTCATCAGACCTGAAGTAAGCCCTATTTATGTCCAGGAATGCTTTTTTTTGTAGCAATCTTTTATTCATAAACTAGTAGTGATAATAAGTCTAAGATGATAATAATTAAATTCCTACGATCTTGTATATCAAAACAGCATATCCATGCCTCCAAGCAATCCATATATGCATGCAAGCAAGTATACACAAGCGCCTAACTGTCATCTAAACATAATATCAGACTGAACTCAAAATTCAAAACATCCATATATCCATGCCTCTAGCCAATCTAAATATCAACGCAAATGTTTTTAAAAGTGCACTTTGAAGCGTGCTTCACAAGCAAAGCAAAGCGTGTGACACCCACTTAACTTCGCTGAGGTGCACTTCAAAGCACTGAGGTTAATTTACAGTTTTTTTTTGTAATTTTTAAATCATTAATTGTTGCAACAAACTATTAAAAATTATTTGAAATTTTATATTGATGGCTTACCGTCAATATTTGCCTTCAATTTATGTATTTTACAACAATTTTTTTCTATTTTATATCAACTTTAAGTCGTATTTTATATTTTATAATTGTTAATGAATGTCTATTTAAATATTAATAATTTTGTATAATCTATTAGTGTTTTGATTAATAAAAGTGTCGCTTCTCTTTGTGCTTTGCATTTTGAAACAAAAATAAAACCTCAAGCATCGCATTGCGTTTTACGCTTGGACAACACTAATCAATGCCTGTAAGAATGCGAGCCAAATCGCTATGTAAGCATATTGTCAAACCAAACACACCCAAGAGAGTTATTGATGATAGACGGGCAACTGAAATGATGATTGGAGTGAACCCTGTGTCAATAGATTTATAGAGGACAGAAGATCAAAATATGGAGGAAGAACTGGAGAGATAAAGAGGAAAATGAAAGCAGACCAGAAGAAAGAATCCTCAAGGGCAAATGATTGATAGAGAGCAATGAACCTCGTGGTTAGAATGAAGAAGTAATGAGAGAAGGAAGGGATTAACTAGGAGAGAGAATTCCAGGAAATCATTTCTCTAATCAAATGGCCATTTTACACTTAGAAATCATAACATAAAAAATAAGGACATTTGACATAATTTGTACAATTACTGACTCTGAAAAATATAATCAAGATAAATACACATAAGATAACGGTTAAAGAGGATTAAATTAATGTCATAACATAAATAATTTAGGAGTGATGTCTTGCAATGCGTCAATTCTTCTTAAAAGTTGGCACAGGAAGATTTTAAATACCCCCCAGAATATTTGGAAGTGGTTACTTACTCTACCATACAAATATGGTCAAATGATCCCTCCTGGATAACGTTGGGTTCGAATTTATATCACAATACATGAGAGACCTTATGGATCAATTTTGTATAATTTAAAGTTTAATTAAAATTTACTCTACCCATGCCAAAATTAGGTTTAAACATGATATTCAATCAACTGGCCCATTTAATGATAAGGCCAAAGAAAATATGACACCTGAAGCACCTAAAAAAATAATAATAATAAAAACTATAAAGCCATCAGGGACGACGACAAAAACAACAACAACAATAACAAAACCTTAATCCCACTACGTGGGGTCGGCTACATGAATCTTTTTCTCCATTGCGTCCTATTTGAAGCCATATTTTCATTTAGCTCTAATAAATTACAATCATTTTTTATGCAATAAGCCCCCAAGTCTTCCTAGGTCTACCTCTGCCTTTTTTAACAAAAGTCAAATCTAAAATATCTACTCTCCTAATCGAATCATCATATGGTCGACGTTTAATGTTACCAAACCGTTACCAAACCATCTAAGAAATTTCCATCTAAGATGACTCTCTCTAATTTTGTTCGTCACTGGAGCTACACCAACCCGACCACGGATATATTCATTTCGCATTTTGTCCCGAAGTGTAAAACCACTCAACCACCTAATCATTCTCATCTCGACATCACTCAACTTAGTACTATGCTTCTCTTTTAAAGGCCAACATTCAGCGTCATAGAGCATTGCACGTCTCACCACCATATTATAAAATTTTTCTTTCAGTCCAAGTGGTGTTTTTCTATCACACAAAAGGCCTGAAGCATTCCTCCACTTCAACCAACCAACTTGAATTCTACTATTAATATCCCCATCTATATAACCATCGCTTTGAACAACAGACCCGAGATATTTAAATCGTTCACACATTTTAATAATTTGATCACCCAAAGTTACACATTTGTTACTAAAGCTACTACTACCAAAATTACATTCCAAGTAGTCAATTTTAGTTCTACTGAAATGAAGGCCTTTAGACTCCAATGTAGACCTCCATAATTCAAGTTTTTCCTGGGTTTGTTCTCTTGTCTTATCCAGGAGAAGGATATCATCAGCAAAAAGCATACACCAAGGTACATCCTCCTGTAAATGTCCAGTAAGACCATCCATAATTAAAGCAAAAAGATATGGGCTTCAAGCCGATCCATGACGTAATCCAACAGAAATAGGAAAATATTTTGTCAATCCTCCTGTAATTCATTTTTCCTGGGCTTTTTCTCTCGTCTTATCCACAAGAAGGATATCATCAACAAAAAGCATACACCAAGGTACATCCTCTTGTAAATGTTCATTAAGATCACCCATAATCAAAGCAAAAAATATGGGCTTGAAGCCGATCCATGATGTAATCCAACAGAAATAGTAAAATATTTGGTCAATCCTCCTTCAGTTCGAACTCAAGTAACAACTAGCAGCTCTAGTATGCATATCTTTAATGACAAAGTCTAGGGTTTCATATAAATTGAACATGAAATAAAAAAAGACATACAATAAGCATGCATGCAAAATTAGCACAAATAAAGGAGAAGGGAAATAGGAACTAAGAAGGAAGAACTGAAGGGGGAGATAAAGCTATCTTTGCTCAATTTATTTTCATTCAGAAATAAGCCCTCAAATTTACCCTAGAGTCCTACTATATTGAAAAAAAGAACACTAGGGTTATAAGAAAATTAAGAAATAAGAAATATGATAAAGAAACAAAATGAAATAAAAAAGAAAATATATCCTAAATAGCCAGAATATAAATATCTAAATACAGTAAGACAATCTAATCAATTAGAAGCCTGATGCTTAATTCAAGTCTGGATCAAACGACTCCCATCCACTAAAGATTTATGCTTAAGATATTTATCAAAAAGGTAGAGAAGTATCGTAGCTAGTCATGAGTCACCCAAGTGTCATCTCATGATAAGTTATCTTATTATCTAAAAATGTAATGCTACTCGCCTAAAGAACACAATCAAATCTCATTTAAAAGAATCTTTCCAGACTAGAGCTTGGTTGATGTTGGTAAAAAATTATACTCATAGAGATAGCTGCTGAAAACTTTGGATGCAATCTACATGCCATTAAATCCTCAATATTGAAAGTTTGATTAATGTTCACTATTACCAGAAAATCAATATGTAAGCATTTGATCTGAAGTTTTCTAAGTATTATGTAGCGGCCTGAGGTTTGGGCTTCTTAAGTGTATACTATGCAAAGCGCTAATGGCTAATACAAAATAACACATAATCACATTCATTATGATCTAAAAATTTTTATTTAATAACCTCAGTCATTTTACCATTTTCATTTGGCAAAGCATTGTGATGTGGGAGCGTCCCACGGGATGCGTAACCACATCCTGGTCAAACACGGAGATGAAATACGGTGTCCTGCTGCTGTAGCGGGAAAATCCCAATATTTTGGCTGTTCCAACCCTTATGAGACGCCCAATTTTATATTATTAGAAATATAATTAGGGTTATTTTATTTTAGAACTATTTATACATTGTTGTTTCCTGATTTTAGGGACTTCTGCTTTTGGTTTATGTATATGTAAATTGTGTTCTCTGATTTTCTGCCCCAATGAGTAGTGTATCCTCATTTGTTTGTAAGTGGTGTAGTTGTAGCTTGTTCAGAAATAGGCAGTGGATCCTCCTAGACGATCTTACCTTGCCAATATTACTGTCATGCTGTTTTCTGTACTAATTTCGGCATGGACAGCAGCTGGGATGATATTTTTCCTCTCCAACTATCCTTTTTCCCCTAATCATTAATTATTATCATTCTAACACATCCCCAATAAACATCTCGATTCTTAAACACTTTATGGGAACTTCTAGAATGGTATCAATTGGTATCAGAGCCCAGCAAACTCTAAATATTTAAGAATTTATTTTCCTCATTCCTAAACCTAAAATCCACATAACCTAACATCTCCACCAAAACCATCCCCACATCCTCTACCTAATCCTAGGCCTTCAACTAGCCCTATATCCAAAATTTCCACTATCACTGTAACCCTAAAGGGATGAGATCTACCATATCTCTAAAAAAAAATCCCAGAGTGTTCAAGACCTTACCATGGAAGATAAACAACAGAAAATCCTCCAAATGCAGTGGAGGCTTGTTGATTTTAAAACAAGTCAACATGTGGAAGTTAACTACTACTACAACAACAACAACAACAACAACAACAACAACAACAACAACAACAACAACGACTAACCCAAACAGAGGAGATGAAAAAAACCCTTTCACAAAAAAGTTTCAATTGAAGGAAAGCCAATGAGGCATCAATTAGACATTGAGCAAAGGAGGGGAGGGTGATTTTGAAGAGGGAGACTTCAAAATCAAATGGCACCAAATTGATGAAATTAGTCGGCATCAGATTTTTTTTAAAAAAAAGTGCTTCCCTGTGATGAAAAAAATTTGAAGTGCCTACCA